TTGGCTAGTATTGAAAAGCAGGGCCGTCCTGCAGTTCTTTAGTTCTCCAGCAGGGAGCACTCTTAGCACATGCACTTTTGCTCGCTCCAAGTATCAACAACCAAAAGCTACAGAGGTTTTATGAGACTGAAATGAAATTGAATAATGGTACCATAAACTATTACAGTCACACAATTAATCTCCATCAAGTGTTGCCTTTCAAAGTCTTAATTAATTCAATAAAATCGGATTGGATTAGATGACGGCAGCGTTGGTGCCGTGTAGGTATTAAACTCTAGCATCTGTGAACACTTGTGTCTATTTTAATTCAACCTCCAAAGATCTGACCTTTAGCCGTCTTATGAAAATATGGCCGTCCCAACTGTCCCATTACAGTAAAAACTAAATGAAACACCACTGTCATCAGAGTGGGAAACGCAGACCACCGACTGACGGCTGTGCCGCACACACGCCCAAACACACAGACGCAGACAGCCTTGTGTCTGAGCGACACAAATACCAGCTCAGGCGGCGTGCCGGAAAGCGAGCCGGTGCCGCGGCGGCGATTTCATGCGAGACGTTTTCTCTCCGCCGGTCCGACTCCTTCCCCTCCTCTCCTCCTCTCTCTGACGGGATTTTTGACAGTTTGGAAAGTTTGAAGTCATGGGTTTTAATCAGGGCCCTGCGGTGGGGCTCAGAGCATGGCACGGCTGGGCCATGATGGCTCATTTTAAAGATGTGGGTCTGGGTCACGGCCAAGCCTGGGTGGCACAGCTAGAAAGAGAGGGGCGGCTCGGGCAGAGAGAGAAGAGACCGACTGGGGGAAGAGAGCCCACAGCACTCGGGAGGGTTTGCCACAGACCCTTAAAGGCCAGTATGGGCAGCATTAATGAAAGCAGATTATGTGTGGGCATGCGTGTGCGCTCACGGCGTTTGATCAGGGATGATTTAACCTCGTCATGGCGGGGGCTGAAGTTTTACCAGTTTGCATTAGATCCTGCTGATACGTGGGGAATATTTTCAGCCCTCCTGACCATACTGAACCAGGCTGAACTTCAAACTTTAGTGTGATAGTAGAATAAATGGAAATGTGAAAAAAATCACAGTAAAATCAGCAAACTAGGCTTTCTGGAGTTTCGACCCAGTTCATAAGGAAGCTAAGCTTCTTTGCAAGAAGTTGCCAGAGGTAGGTTTTGCCTGTCTGGAACACAGCGAGAGCCCTGAGCAGCCGTGACCTGTCAGAAAAATACCTGCTCGCCTTTAGCGAACGAGTTGCTTTGAACCATCAATTTTCCGTCCAAGTTAACAGGGGTCCCTAAAATGCTCGCAGTGTTTCTCTGAGCTCGGAGGCACAGCGAGGTTGGAGTCGGAAAGCCTAGCGGGTGATGTGGAGCTGGGCTCTTTTTCTTCTCCAGGAACACAAACGAGTTTGTTTTGCAGAACTGAAGGTGTGATGCCTGCAGGGCCTTTCTAGATTTATCCATCTCATCAAAACTGATTCTTATTCGTGTTTGTTCACAGTACCAAGATAAGATTTACCAAAGATCTGCTGGTATGGACGCCGAACATCTTTTTTTTTTTTTAAATCTAAACCTGTGTCATGATTCCAGACGTGGAAAAAAAACGCGGTTACGCAATTTTTTGTTATTACATTTTTTCTTTTTGGGGTGGAGGTGGGTCTCTGAACAATAGCGTTACTGGAGGCGGGGCAAACAAAAGGCAGAGAATTCCCCCGCCGCCCGGGGTTAACTGTACGTGCAGAGGTGTGTGTGTGTGTGTGTGTGCTTGTGTGTGTGTGTGTGTGTGTGAGTCCCTCTCCATAAATATGAGTTAGGGGATGAGCTTCTCTCACTGAAGTCAGTGTGTGTTTCTGTGTGTGTCGTGCCAGGGCCACATTAGAGGAGTCTTTCAAGTCTTGTTGACCTCCTCCTTCTCCTCTGCATAGTGCTTGTGTTGTGGTCGCTGCCACAGCCAGCCGCTCAGATCCCCTACAAACCTCCTGTGTGCGTGCCTCCATATGAACGCCGGCGTACGTACTGTCGCAGGGTTATTTTCCCCGTGCGTGGGATGCCCCGATATCATACTGCTGGGTCCCCCTTTTCTTTTATCCCTCATCCTACATCCGCTATCTGTTCCCTCTCATATCAGCATCTCTCTTTCTGTGCGACTGATACAACGGTGACCTCCAGAAATGATGAGTTCTGTCAGCTCTGATTGCGTGTGACTCAGTTTAGCAGTCACCTCCACGCTGCTGGGAGAAGTCTGCAGCCCTGCCTCCAGATTGTAGCCGATGACAAACTTGGGGCTTCTTCTCATCCTCCCTTCCACAGAAACACCCACAGCTCTTTGATAACCATGCCAATCGCTCCGAGCCTGCTCGAAACACATTTCAACACACTAGCACTTAATGTGGATTGGGTTCAGAATAAAAGGTTAGCTGGCGCTTTGATCCCGACCAAACAGAGCGCGTGCCAACACATTATTGCTCTGACACACCACGCCATTGTGCTTTTCCGTACTGGCTTAAGGGGAGCACAAGACAGTTTACATCTTTTATATGCTGTCACTGTCGTTCTCTCCACATGCTCAGCAGAAACCGCCAACTGTGCAATAATACAAAATGTTTAAGCTAATGAAACACTCAGCGGTTGATCAGCCTTCATTAGGACTATTTTTACTTTATTTCCCAAACAGATTGGCCCATTACTCTCACCTGAACTATTTCACTCTTTCTCTTGTGATTAAAAACAAAAAATGAAGCATTTACAAGTTATCATGAGACAAGAAGCCTCTGTTGGGTACCTGGTTGCAGGTAAAGGGATTTTGATGCAATTTGATGTTAACCAGAAAATAAATCAGTTTTACTTTACTATACATACATGGACTGTATGTGTAGGATTTAGGATCATTATGTGAGTGAGGTAATAGAAGTCCATCTGCAAATGACAGATCTGTGGAAACTCCATGCTTAAACAATTCAGCTGCATCATCATGCAGAAACTTAGCCACCAAGCAGACCCTTATTCTGTTAGTCCGTCCAAAACAAGGTTTTAAAATGCATGTAAACATGCTAATCTGACCAAAAACTGGTAAAAATGGAGCTTCTTCTCAAAACCAGAGACGGATAAGAATATTATATTATACTTATGAGCTCAGTTGGACTCAGATTGGCTTTGACAATCTGGATATGCTCCAATTTCTCTATGAAAACAGCTACATTTCTTATTAAGCTTAGTTTTCTGTTACTTTTTTCAGACGCTAACATAGTAAATGAGTGACTGTAGTGACTGTAGTGTAAGTATGTAGTCATTAGAAAACATCAGTTTTAGTGTATCAGCTATAAATGAGACTCATAGTTTTGCATTAATGTCAATAAAAATGACTGAATCTATGGTGTGAATATTTCTCAGACCACTGAGAAAAGTCCTCAAGCTCAAGTCACAAAATGCTTGAGTCTCTTAAGAGGACGACGGGACTAAATCACCACCTGTGACGGGAGTCTCCCGAGGTGTGACAGCACTACGTCCCTACTTACACACCGGCTCAGACGGGCTCGGCAAATGCATTCCATGCGACGTAACGAGGGGCCGCAGATGTCTGTGACACCCAGACGGTCCAGTCCGGACTCACACTTTACACATTTACCCCCACGCCGCGCCCGCGTCCAGCCGGGCGGCTCTGAATTGACTCGGCCCGGCCAGCATGAGCCGGCAGCCAGGGGCAGATTGCAGCAGCAGCCGCCGGCAGCAGCTCGGGCCACCGAGGATATCATTACCTCAGGTGTGTGGCTGGTCATAACCGGAGCCCCCAAGCGGAGTTTCATCAAGACGGACCCCCTATCTGTGTGGAGGGGGAGGATACCAGTTAAACGGCCATCCCGCGGCGAGGAGAGGTATTAAGCGGCAGGTGGAAAGAGAAAGCATCCCGCGACAGGAATGAGGTGGAAACAAGAATACTTGGAGAGTAGCTTGCAGACACCCCCTCACACTGTGAAATTGTCTCTTTCGATTTCCTCGCAGTGCTTCTTCTACAATGAAGCAGGGACCCATGTAGAGCCTCGCCATGTGTTTGCCCGAGCGTTTTACATAACGCTGCCTATTATCCCCTCCTCCATCCAGCACAGTTCAACAGTACAGATTTCACTTTGCTCTGAGCAGGCAGGAAAACACGTCTGAGAAGTTCCACTCAAAGGAAATAGTAGGGATATTTTTGGTGCAGGATTGTGACAGAGCAACTTGATCCATGGCCATTGGCAACGACATCAGCACTGTCCTCATACGGGAATTGGACCGTCTCCCTCCTGTGAGGTAACCCATAGGTCATGAATCACGCCGTCCTCTCCAGACTCCTGTGGTCCTAGGGGTTGACAGTTTGACCGCTCCTCAATGTGGTCTCCTTCCTCTCCTCAAGCTCCTCCCATCCCCACCACCACACATTCCAACCACTGGACCGGTCACGTAAGGTCAGGAATATAGATCAGAGTGGAGGTTGTGTGAAACGCATGTAAAAACGCTACACTGGACGGTGGTAAAGCCTCTCAAAACTAAAGCATAGTGGAGGAGACGGAGCGAGCTGAAAAAAGGGGCATCCCTGAGTGTTTCTGTGTTGCAGGATGTCTGCTTTGGCAGCTCCGACGGGGAGCTAGTCTGGCAGTCTGCCTCTCTGGTTCGCTCTGGTCTCCCCTCCATTCTGGTGGGTTGCTGGTGTTTGGATCCCTACTGCCGGCTGTTAACCACCGACTTGGATAGATCCTCCATACCGTGCATTTGATTTAGTTTAGTCATTTATTATGCACACAGAGTATGAAAATTGAAGTCGTATATCAACCATGTTTTTCTGGAAGAAGATATAAAAAGAAAACAGACACGGATAGGGAAACGGGCTCCACAGAGCTCCGAATAAAGAAGGAACTAAAATCAGGCCGTGTATTTTCATGAGTGGAAATTCAAGCAGGCTGTAGACTTTTAGACTTTTAAAGCTCAGCAATGTTTATCAACAGCTTGGGCGAGTAAAAGTGAGAAATGGACGGCTCATCCGGTGTGAAAGCGGGCCTTGAGCCAGTGGTTTTAACGGAGCCCCGGGCCATGAACCAGCTGAGTTAAACACGCCCTGACGTGTGTGTTTGTGTGTGTGCGTGTGTGTGTGTGTCAGGGAGGAAGACATGACATTTCTGAGGGTGTGATGTAGTCACTTCCTCCCACTGGACTGAGCAACTGTTGTCAGCTCGACCCCGAGAGTTAACCCCCCGCCACCCCTGGCACCGCCAGCGAGGGCCCCGGTCCTGGGAGAAAGGCAGCTTGTACGGCGAGTAGCGTGCGTGTTGAGACCACAGGTGTCTGGTCAAAGTGTCAGGGTGTTAAGAGGTCTTCAGAGAGCCCCCCCCAACCCTCCCCGACTCCCGGCATCTGTTTCAGAGGGAGGGAGGAACAGCACAGAGGAGGAGAGGTTGGTGAGGGTTAGCAACACATACCCTGAGGGGGCCGGGGCAGAAGCTGACAAGCAGGTGCCTGTGTTGACAGTAACCCTTCATACTTGAACCCCCCCTCGCCGCCCAAACACACTCACTCACACACACACACACACACACACATTGCCCACACTTCACAGTAAACTCTGGAGAGACAGACATAATTGCACTGCCTGATTGGAGTGAATGCAGAGGGAATCCCCTTTTACACACACACACAGAGCAGGATCTCTTTTCGAGGGGTCATAGGTGACGGAGAAAGAGCCAGAGAGTGGAAAGCAACGTTTCCCACAGAGTGTTTGGCTTTTTGTGATACGGGTCCACTCGCATAAATCGCATACCATGCAGTGACCATCAGAACCGGGCTCATTTCGCTTCAGTCTGAAACCACGTTCGCCTTGCGCACACATGCAACTGTAAACCGGGATTCCAACACGTTGGTGCTCCTTTTCTCTTAAAAGCACACTAAACGGAGAAATCCTACACCGCGTTTGTAAATTAAACCCATTCGGAGTAAATGTTAGTTAGTCAGGTGTACCGGTGCATGTCTGGGAATGATTATTTTGGTAAGGAGGAGGGGGTGGAGGCGAGCAGCAGGAGGTCAAAGAAAATTGGAACAGCTGTTGATTAACATGAGGGTTCTCTTTCTCTCTCTCTCTCTTGTTTTTTTAAAATATTCTTTTCACTCTCTTTCAGTAGAAGAGGAAGAGGAAGATGAAGACATGATGGAGACAAAGCCGGGCCCAGACTCGGAGCAGCCAGATGAAGACGAAAACAAGGAAACCAAAGAAGGTATCAAGAGTGTGTGGACCATCACAAGAAAGTATCAACTTTTGGAACTCCAGTTTTCCTTAACAGGCCAAAAGCAGGGACTCACAAATGTTTGAAAATTGCTCAGAGACAAACCATCAAATATCGACCGTGTGTTAACTATGTTTTTCCTAAGTATTCCAGAGTTTCATGCAGCAATTTTTAACCACTTTTGAGCAATAGGGCAACTTACAAACCATTGCAGGATGTGTCCTTTGAGGCCTGATAGTTACACAAACACGCACAACAGTTTTGCATCTAGCATCAAAACCTGAAGCGCAGCTAACATCAATGAGCCCATTTTCCACCGCTACAGCTCTCAGCGTGCTCTGAGGCTATTTAAGCAGACGTAAACATGTCAGACGGCAGCTCCCTGGGCACATCAGTCCGTGCGCAGGTAGCCAGATAAAGCCACTGGCACTGAAAAAGAAAAACCCGGTCGACATGATTGCATTTCGCTGCGGTGATGAAGCAGAGCGCCATTGTTTACATGTCGTTCTCCTCATGTATGTTCAGGTCCGGGTGCACAGAAGCATCCTTTTCCAACTTCTCTTTGCTCTCAGCTCTACACGTTTTCAGAGGTTTGCGCCTATTGCACTTAAAGTTATTTTTTCTATTCATATTTTGGCTCTAAAATTGTTCCCAGTGTTGCATTCGACAGCGTTTTCCTGAAGTTACATAATGAAGGTCCGTCCCACTTTTAGGAGCAAACCCGTTTTTCCTCCCATAAGGAATATCATCCCAACCCTGTTCCACATAAAGAGTTCCAAAGTTTAGACACAGAAAAACTCCCAGCCCTCAGTCCCTCCACTTCTCCCATGTTGCTGGTCTATCTGTCATGAAACATGGTCACTCATGTGCGACAGCCCCTTGTATCAGATCGGAGGGGGCATGGGGGGGGCGGTAGGTTACAGTTGGGGTTAAGAAGGGTGCAGCGTATCAGCTCCATGGCATGCATGGGGTCAGCACTGATTAAAAACCTGTCACTTGACCCTCCGTCTGTATTTCAAAGTGAAGAGGAATAGAGAAATGTGTCCATGTGTGGGTGGGGGTGCGCGTCAAGGGGTTCTCATAGAAATAGTAGGAAAAAAAAGACATGTTAAAATACACCACGGATGGATAGATGGAGACACGTTGGTGTTCAGCCGCATAAGCCGAGTACGAGCCGAACACGTGTGTGCCGACGCGCGCTCATAAACAGGCGAGTCATTCGTCTCCTCTCCATCCTGGCCTATTAGAAGGTCTGGCCTTTGATCTCTGCCACTCGATTCACTGGGCCTTCTCTGACAACTCGTAAGAAATACAAAGGGATGGCGGGATCAAAGTCAAGAGGCAGGGTAAAGGTCGGTCCGTGTGTGCGTCTGTGCGTGCAAAATTGCATGTGCGCTCGGGGACAGTGACTTCAAAAACCGGACGCCGTGCTGTGCAGCCATTACGTTCAAAGGGAGGCGGGCCGCACAGAGGCCTTTGTTTTCCCTCTTGCTCTTGTTTATGAAGTTCTCGCTGTAGAATTTTACTGGAAAAGATGCATTAGGAACTGTTCTTAGTTTATTGTGTCCTAGATGGGATTCTGGTTTTCATAGAGATGAAGGGAATGTTAGTTTGATGTCAGAAGCACACACACTTACTCTGGTTTTTGTGGCAGTAAACAGAGCAGTGGTGTGCGTCAGGGTTTGTTAACCTGTACATTAAATCACTGCTTTAAGATCTCAGTGTTACAGTATGGAAAACAATACTTCTCGTTTTAGTTGGCTTAAGATTTTTCAACCTTTTTTGTGCCTTTGCAGATTTTTGCAGGTTGTCTCAGGACTGGAATCCGGCCCTCACTTTGACCTGCAAATATAAAATGTACATAAAGTTGAATTCAGTAGCACTGCTATAAGCACACCACACCAAACCTGAGAGCTGCAGCCAACTCTGACAGCAAACACGGCCTAATGCATCCATTCACGCTGTTAACACAACAATCTGACGCACAGTCAGTGGGTTTCTAGGGTTTCGAACTTCTGGACCTGAGGAAAAGCAATTATGATTCGTACACCATCTGAGGGGAGCCCTTCATCTAGGATTGTGTCTCTTTGAACAGGCTCCTTTCCGGTGCTGCGGGAGCTGACGGAGGAGGAGAGGCAGCAGATCCTGCACTCCTCCGAATTCCAGAGCTTCTTTGACTGCAGCATCCGGGTGATGGAGAGAGCTCTGGCCGAGGACGGCGACATCTTCTTTGACTACAGCGGCCGAGACCTCGAAGACAAGGAGGGGTGAGCGTTTTTTTTTTGTTTGTTGTTGCCGTTTTCTTTGTTAATGTCATCCAGGTTTCCCAAAATCAATCTGGATCCAATCTGGAAGTGCCACGAAAAACTGATTAGCGCTGGCAGTCAAAAGGAGGCCGTAGTCTGGATGGGAGAGCACATGTGAGCAGCTACTGATGCATCTCCAGCTCCCAAATGAGCGCAGACTGACTCACAGCCACCATGTCACTCTTGGGGCCTTTGTTCTTTAAAGAGCGTGTCTTCATAGTGATGTCACGCGCTCCGAGGGTTCAAGGCGTCTGTGAACTGACAGCCATCGCTGCTTACAGAGCATTGTCTTAGCATCTGAAGGACTTCCTCTAAGAGGAGGTTATCGCAGTGTCGGTGGCAGCTGTGAGAGCGATGAGTCCATCCCGCCAGCCCCCCACCAGCAGACGAGCTGCTTTTACTGACGCAGTTGAACTTTGACTGCTTTAGCCTCTCAGAAGCGTGGATCCTGTGGTCTGATGGGCCATGACCCGGCACCCCAGCTTTAGAGAACTTTCTTTTATTTATTTATCAGGCTATATTTCAGTGCTGTTTCTTTATATTTCTGTCATTTAGGATGTCGTGCACACACACTGGGGCCGAGCGTCTGTGGTAATTAGTGCTGCGTTAAAAGACTGTACGAAGACAAAACTGTGGTGGTAAAACCTTTTTAATTTGGCCAAAGCCCCTAGTTTGACCTCAGTGAATATGCTCATTAGAGGCTGAAATGACTGACTCAGGAATAAAAAACCTTCTCTCTGCCTCTGTTTCCCTGACTTTTGGTTCTTCAGTAAGCGGTAGTATCTATTATGGATTTGTAATGAGGTCTCTTGTTTTCTCAGTGATTGAATGAACAAGTTGAAAAGAAGCACTTGTCATTTCTCACTTGTTACAACTGACTTCTGTTTTTGAGAGTTTGAAGAGATATGTTGTTGGGAATATGTGTAGTAAAATACATGCCTCTTATCCACCTTTATTGAAGTTCGATACTATTTTTATTTTTTGGAACTGGTAAATCAAAGTTAGGGAGTTCTGTTGAAACACCAGATAGGGAAGATTTAAAAAGATGGAATCAATTTATAACCCAACTGAATCCAGTTTACCATTATCAGTTCAATCCAAATCGCTTCGAATCAGCCTAAAAGGAAATTTTCTTAAAAGTGGAGGCGAAGCAAGTTAAAGTGATCCACCTCTGGCCGTCTGCTTGCAGTGACTCCGGCAGTGGCTCCAGTCTGTCCTTCAGCCGGCTCTTCTACGACGAACACTGGTCAAAACATCGGGTCATCACCTGTCTCGACTGGTCCCCTCAGGTGAGAGCCCAAACCTGTCTCACTTCAAATCAGTCTGCGTTGTAGCTCCCTTATCCGCTTCTGTTGTTGTCTAAAGGGGAAACATCAGCTGCCCTTCATTGCTCTCCTCTCCTCTGGCTCTTTCAGTACCCCGAGCTGCTCGTCGCCTCGTATAACAACAACGAGGACGCCCCCCACGAACCGGACGGCGCGGCCCTGGTGTGGAACATCAAGTTTAAGAAGGCCACACCAGAATACATCTTTCACTGCCAGGTACTTTAAACTCTATCTTCCATATATACAGAGTATAACAGCACTCTTAAGATCAGTTGTTTTGTTTAATTTATTTGACATTTTGTGTAGTCTGGTTTTAAAAAAATAGCGTAGTGTATTTTGATGAGAAGAAAGAGAACTTTGGTCTGTTTGGATGCTGATAAGTGGCACAAAGGCGTTGTCAGAAAGCAGTAAAGAGGTGATGGAAGGACCGATCCCACCCGATGGACTCAGCCATGTTTAGACGCACCAGTTGTAAAACAACGGGGCACACGCCGCTTCCTAATCCGCGCCCGCACGTGTGCGTGCGCCTGTCTGCATATGTGAGGCCGCCCTCAGCCGTGGCCCAAACCTCCCACGCTGCCGTTCCGTGGGAGGCTCACCGGCCAGTGTCCAGCTCTGCTACTTAAAAGCAACAAATATGCGCAAGCACATTCAAGCTTTCGCGATCCCCACCCAGCCAGCCACATGCACTCCTGCACACCGAATACGTTAATGAGGCCCGCCATAAGTCCAGCTCCACAGTGGGTTTCTAAAGCACTCGATTCTTCCACTGCTCCATAATTTATGCCCCTGCTGAAATCCGTGCGGTTGCACGGATAGATTACAGCTATGCATCTTGTCGCTGTAGGATTCTGGAGATTTTCCATGTGGTTCACGGATGAAATATGTGCTGTACATGTACATCCGACTTTATTAGCCGTGCGGTTTCCCAGCACGCCGGTCCGTGAACAGTCGGCATCGAGCTGGAGGAGTTCGGGAAACAAGAGCATTTATGCGAGCGCCCAATGAGACGGCCGGTACATCGACGGGGGCTCTAACAGCGTGTGGAGGTCAGAGGTCAGCGACCAGAGCACCACAGGGCCAGTTTGCCCTGAAATGGAGAGAAAACTCCCGGATGCCACACATGGAAACCAACTTCTGCTTAGTCACTTCATTTGGAGAAAGTTTTGATTAATTGAGTGCTCATGCTGGTGGGGAAAAGAAAACAACCCCCCCCTTAACCCCGCGTGGCCCTGGGACGTCGCCACGTTCCAGAGGGGAGGGAGAGACCAGCAGTCTGAGCAGTGGAGGAAGTGAAGATTAAACCTTTAAAGAAAGAAGTAATCTGGCTTCATCGTCCCTTAATCCCGCCGTCCGATGTCAGATTTAAGGGATGGAAGCTCAGGGGACTGCTCTTCCCTTCTCCCCGCGGTGCCTTTCTGCACACAGACCTGCGACCTGCCGGCTGCAGATCGGACGGCTCTTAATGTGCGAGCATGTTCTGCCGCTTAACCTCCAGAAACCGCCGGGGCTGGGCGCCTCCTTCCCCTCCGCTCTCTCCCCCACTCTCCTACTTGCACTCGAGCACCAGAGCGCCTTCTCCCCCCTCATCTGTAATCACAGACCGGCTGTTTTCTGTACACATACATCAGACTCGCACATGCACGGGGTGCACGCCGGGCTGTCAGACGCTGCCGCTGCTGCTGCTGGAAGGCAGCATTTAACAGCACCGCAGTCTGTTGAGTTTTTTTCCTATTTGCCCACAGGGGCTGTTTGCCGGATGGATAGATAGATGCCTGAGCAGCGTGCGCGTTTCCTCCCGAGTTTGTGTTGGAGCTTTATGCAAAGGCTCTGGCGTGCGTGCGGAGGACACAAAAGAGGGGCAGTGTGGGTTGGTGCAGAGGGGCTGAGGTTTGTAGCTGAGGTCTGGTTTAGTAGGGGCTTTATTGTTTAAGGCTCTGGCTTATTGAAGGACTCCCTATTTTTATGGGGGTTAATGAAGTCAGGCTTCTTTATTTTCCATCTCGCAGTGGTCAGTTTGGAAGCAAAAACCTGAACCTTTAATAAACGCTAACCTCATACTGTAAGTGTAAGATTATTTGTTGCTATTGTAGTTGGATGTTTCTGAACTTTTCTTATTGTTGTCATCCCTTGTAAAGATTTAGCTTTTGCTGCACATTGTTTTCAGAGTGGACAAAAAAATGTTTCTGGCTTTTTATATTTATCTATCGCTTTATATATTTATATTTTATGATGTCAGAAAAATAATTTCAAAACTAGTTTGAGGTTTAGTCGAAATAATTTGACCTCAGTTCGGTCGGGGTCCTTCTGAGTTTGATTTAATTTCATCTAACCATTGTGCTGATCAGCTGACAAAAAACTTCAGAATTCATCACAGCATCATTCTTATCATTCGCCATCTCTGGATTTGCCCTCGTGGCCTGTGGTAGTCATAAAGGACTCACCGTAGGAGCCACTGAACTGGAATAAGGAGAAGTCATGAAAGGGGGTGCCGCGCTGTCAGGTTCTGGTACCGGTGTGCCCCCCCCCCCCCCCCCCCTCGCCACGGCCGTCCTGACAGTCGGGCCCATCATCGCCTCGTCCCAGTTGGGGCCAATCTTGTAACTTCATAGCAGCCTCTCAAGTGGGCAAGGTTGAGCCACATGAAAGGGGCCGCTTGACTTAAAACCTCAGCTCTACCCCCCAAACCACATGCTCCTCTCCACCAGCTCATACCGCTCCTGTCAGATCCCATTGGTCTCAGTCATATTTTCATTAATATCTGGCTGCCCCGAGCCGCTCTCTGAGCCCCTGGCTCTGGTTGGAGTTGGAGAAGAGGAGCAGGCCAAGAGGAGAGTAGACAGAAGGGTGGACAGAGATAACTTCTGTGTCGTTACACATCAGAGTGAGGCAGAATTTGGTCGGGTCATCCTCTGTGTGCACACCTGTGTGACAAGAGGAAAAAAAAAAAGGAAGAAGAATCTATTGTTTTCTTCATTCTGTCCAGCTTTATGTGCTCTGGGGTTGTTTCACTGGTTGAAATAGTTTGCCTCACTTGTTATAGTTCTTCGTGGTGGGAACAGGAGGGAGCCAACAGCCTTATTTTTCTGCTCTGCTTCCATGCGTCTGCACAAAAATGAAGTGTAGAAACAGCAGTTTACATGAGTTATGTCTGAGAACGTTTCTTTCACTTGTCTGCCCATGCTGACACAGTGAGGTTGCCAAGCAACCCCTCCTGTCTGCAACTCTCTGCAAGAAAGCAAATAGGCCTCTGTGTCAAAATGTCACACAGCTCCTCTGAATAGATTATCAGATGCAAAGAGAAACTAAGGAACCAACTGCAACACAGCCAAAACAACTCAGGTCTGACAGCACTGATGTCAGTATTAAAAAAATATGAAATGCTCAACAAGCCTCTCAGAGAATGGGACTATTTCTATGTAACCACTCGGTTAGCGTTGAGATTTTGTGAGTTGTATCATTTTATGTAAACTGGAAAACAGAGGGATATGTCTCAAACAGCTTTAAGAGTGTCTGTGTGAATGGGTGAGCGAGACGTTTAGACCACTTAAGAAAATAACAGAACTTTTCATGATGCGTCCTCACCGCAGTTCGAATAAGGCTCGCACCAGAAGGAGAGATTCTGAGCCAAGCAACCAGAAAAGACGCGGAAAACCGGGAAAAAAAAAATCCAAAATATATCGAGATTGCCGCCGGAGGAGCGAGCGAGAGGCTTGTTTGTTCTCCCAGAGCCTGCTCCTCGTGCTTTCTCCCCATTGTTTGCCTGCTGAAATGGAGCCTCTGGCTCGGCATTTCGCTCTCGTTGCCAGAAACCGCAGAGTGACAAAATCTGTGGGGTGTCGTAAACGAGCGAAGCCAGGGGGAGAAAGGTGGTTGGGAGGGAAGAGGAGGTTGCGAAGCCGAGATGCAGGGAAAGACAATCGGATCCATCTGGTCCTGATAAGGCGGGAGTGGAAAACAGATGAGTGCGGTGACAGAGATGGGTGGGAGAGTGGGTGGTGTGGAAGGAGCGCAGGGGTAAGGAACAGAGATCGGGAGGATATGTTGTCTATAGCGTGCCCTATCAGGCCTCCCTTTCTCTGTTATAAGTGGCACTCTCCTTTCATTTCTGCCTCTCCGAGTCGCCGTTCAACCGTTTGTTGCCAGAGGAAAGAATGAGAGAAGGGAGCATGCAACAAAGGAGGGAGTGTTTGCTCCACTCCAGCTTTTTCCCCCCTTTTTCAGTCGTTTCTTCAGTCTTGCTTAATCCCTTACTGGGTGCCATCTTTCATCACAGTTTACAGCGTGCATATCATCCTATACAGGGCACTTCCCATTGATATAAGGAAGGCTGCCAGAAACACTTAGCCTTGAGAGCCTGCCTGCAGCACATGGCAGACGATACCTGTGTGTGCGAGCTCCTTTCGCTCACACACACACACACACACCTCGGCCCAGCAGGTTGAAGCGGATAGAAGCGGAATCTCCCGCTCCGATTGCGGGAGAGCTGCCCGGCCCAAAAACTCCCAGAAAACACACAACACCCAAACGGCCCGTGCCACCGCTCCGTCTCCCTGGAGCCGCGCCGCCCACCACATCCTCCCCGTCTGACCCGGCAGGTGTCTGACCTGTGCTGCGTGCCGTCCACCGAGGCCCTGCCTGGAAATGAAATGTCAGGCCGGGCGTGGAGCCCCCGAGCCGACACGGAGCCCGCCGCACGCTATGGAGACAGATGTTGTGCCTGTGTGACTGGTATCTCCAGAGTCTGAGGCAAAGAGAAAACGGAGGAATGGAGGCGTGCGGCTCGACTTGATTTAATGTGAAAGCTTGACATTTAGGGAAATTGGCTTAATTGCCGTCTTACTGTGAGTAAGATAGAAGGAATGACACTGCTCTCATGTGTGGACGGCGAGGGGGAAACTTTCACCAGCAACACGCTGACTCGGCTCTCCTGGCACAAACGTTTATAACACACATGAGTTTTGTGTGTACAGATCTTCATGTCCCAAAACAAACGACTTTAATAATGTGATATTTTACCCAGCCGTGTTTTGACACCGACTAAATTAAGCATTCAAAACTGAAGGCGAGGGCTCACAAACTGATCCAAAGCAGATATTTATTTATCCCGGCCCCCATAAGTCAAATCTAAACTCAATCATTGCTAACATGACACTGAAATTTGGGATTTGTCAAGCAAGTCCCTTTAAGTTTAAATCATACGTTTCTTTACAGCAGTCAACAAATTGGTCTTATTTCAGCGCCTAATTGCACACAGTTCGCTTTAAAGGGACGGAACTCCAAAACATGTGTGCTAAAGCTTAACAAAGCATTTAGGAGGGATGGCTTCAATGTAAAACCCCAGTTTCTGCTGGAGGGTTCCTTCTTGTTGCATTTCTGGGACAAAGGCTGGCGGATTTTCAGTAGCTCTTTTAACTAAACCTGACAGCAACACGAGGGGAATGATGGCATAACCTGCGGTTTCCCAAAGAGGGGATTCAAAGTTGAGTCGAGATCTTTTCCCTGGAAGATGGCGACACTGATAGGGCTTTGGAGTTAAGCTAACATATGGAGCAAATAGAAGAGTCCCTTGATTTGATTTAGCTTCTCTTTGTCATTACTCATGTGGGGCAGAGTTGTTTATGCAGGAGGGTAACCGGTGGAGGGGAAAAGAGGACCGTATCAAGCGGGGATGTTTTCTGTTTGCGTCTGTTTATTCTGGAGGATTTGCACGTTTGCTTTTTCTCTTTAAATGGTGTTAAAGGCAGATGTAAGATCCCGTTGGCTTCTGCTGGAGAAACCGGCGACAGTGTGTGTTGTAATAGGAGTTGTTGTGCTCCGTATTATCAAAACGCAGATTAGATTTTTTTAATGTCAGGCTCCAGTTTTAGCTCAACAAGAATTCAGCCCATGAGGGCTTTCTTGGGCCGATTTAAAGTGAAATGAAGCCATCTTATGAAATAGGCGCATTAGATATTTCCCAGAAACATGTCCTCATAAAAGTTGAATTTGTTTCCTTACTCGTCAATCATTTGCATGTTTGATCAGCAGCTGAAATGCACTCGGATGCAGATTGTGTCACCTGATATGAGCATCGCTGCAGCTCTATTAACACGTAATTAGCTTCCATTTATCAGCTCTAAAGGTTGCGGGTCATACTTTAAAATCTGCTAATACATGCTAATTAGCCTAAAACTTCAAACCCCCCCTTCTCACCCCCTCCTTTTCTTTTTAAGTCTGTAAAAATAAACTTGTCAGAGAGAGCCCCACTGGCAGCTGCCGAGCGGCTTTATTTTTATCACCAGAGTCCTGTTTATTTTGAGTCTCGACATCTGAAGCGGCTCCCGAGCCATTCCTCTGAAAGCCGTGACGCCTCCGAAGTAACAAAAACGAGAAATAAAGAGAGCCGAGTGTTTTCTTTGCCTCTGGTTTGTTTTCCAGAAGCGTTTGAAAATGAACTGGGGTTTGGCTGCCTCGCTCAGGCTGTGGTGGCCGGGGATGGAGGGCGAGCAGGCCGGGAGAGAGGCCCAGCAAAAAACAAAAATTATCCTCTGAAAAATAAAACAAACATCATCCCGTTGCTGAGCGTGCTTCGCCACAGTTGCTTTGCCGTCACCTTCTGCTCCGTTATAACATGTCGCTCACGAATAGGCTGCAGGATTCATACTGTTACTGTAAAGTTTTGCTAATGAATAATTCCATTTTATGCAACATTCCAGGAGTTGAATGAATGAAACCCTCATTTTAAAAAATGACCCCAAATTGTTTCATCTCAAAGTTTGAGGTCAAGCTGTGCTGTTACAACCCAATGCCAACAGAAGAAGGGACCCTTTGGGAGGATCCAGGGGACGGTGGCGCTCTGGGAGCTGCTGCTCCAGCAGTCAGACTTCTGGCGCGCACTTTCAGGAGCACTAAAGCTGTCACCGAAACTCCAGCTGACAAATCTACGGCCGCGTTAGGCAACCATTGCTTTTGCGAAACGCAGCCGTCAACGTCGTCGCTTTTTTTTTTCTTTTCTCTGCTCTCAATTGCGCGCGGCGTTGGAGGGCTTCGCGCCGGAGGCCCACGTAAAGGCCGTAAATTATCGTTCCTCTCGGTTTGTCAGTGCGCGGGACGAGGCCGTTTCTCATAACCCCCCCGAGCGCCGGTGCCCCGGCGGCCCCGGGTGGCGCGGCGGGGCCCATGCGGGACGAGCACTGAAGAGGAACCAGAAACTCAATAAACGCGGCCCGGAGGGCGGGGGGGAGCTGAAGGGCGCGCTTGTCATGATGGAGGCTGCAGTGAGCGCTCCAGTGGCTGCTGAGGTTTTGATGCTGTAATGCGAAACGGCTGGGGGGGAAAAAAAGAGCACTACAAACCTCCCCTTTGTCTCCTCCGCAAACCCAGAATCACCCCTCTCTCCTCAGCAGACCCCTCAGAGTGGGCAGACCCATCCTCCCCGTCTCCGTCTGCGTCCCCACGTCTGCCACACACCCACCGCTCACGTCCGTATAGCCTCACCTCTTCTCTGGTCATCATCTGCTGACCTCTCGCTCCATCCAGCCAACCCACTTCCACCCTCATGTGCCCCCTGAGTTCATTTCGATGTGCCTTAAAACTAAACTGTTGTCTCTCATCCCTCTCTCCCCTCAGTCTCCAGTGGTGTCAGTCGGCTTTGCCAGGTTTCATCCTAACCTGGTAGTCGGGGGGACATACTCGGGGCAGATTGTCCTGTGGGACAACCGCAGTCATCGCCGGACCCCTGTCCAGAGGACCCCCCTCTCTGCCGCCGCGCACACTGTGAGTACGGCCTCCTCTCAGCATGACGCATGGCTCAGAAAAGAAAACAAACTAACCAGAAACTCGACGCGATGGACATGGTCTGACCTCTGGTGTAACACCATTTCTGTGATTTAAAATGAAAAAAAAGGTTCACTGGACACAGCAGCTGATTCCCCCCCCCCCCCCCCCCAAAAAAAATACAGAAGAGTCAATAAGAGACTCTTCCTCAACAAATTACCATATAAGCTAACTATACTATAAGCTAACGATGTGGGAGGACTCAGAGCCCCTCGTGATGTCAGCGCAACGTTGCCTCATGCCTTCCATACTGGAGCTTTAAAGGGGGCCGTGGACCCCCATAACGGGGCCACCGCTCTCCTCCTCCCCAGTCAGCGGCTCCAGCTCACTAGCACGGAGCCGGCCGCTGAATGCTCCCTTTGTGAGGCCCAGCACACAAATCAATTACGGCCCAGTAATGATATAATGGCTTCACACACTCGTGGATTCGAACAGCAGAAAGTGTCCCAAGCGTGGAGGGATTTAAAGGGCCGGCTGCACAGTGGCATGCACGTCGCATGTTTTGGTCCTAAAAGTATTTGTCCACGTCATGCGTTTCAGGGTAGAGTTACAAACCCATGACAGCACAGCGTTGCAGCTTCTGTTTCACTCGTTTTAACATATAAAACGATTTCAGCATCCGCCGTCCAAAGGTCCATCACACCAGATGAGAGCAGATCTCCTCCAGCCGCAGACTGCAGCAGCTCTGATTTACTGATTACAGTTTAGCGGCGTGCGCTACAACGCGCTCAGGGTCAGTGAACGCATCTAATCCCTTTGTGTGGCCGTGTTGTGTTGCCAAGCACCCGGTGTACTGCGTGAACGTGGTCGGCACCCAGAACGCCAACAACCTGATCACTGTGTCTACAGACGGCAGGATGTGCTCCTGGAGCCTGGACATGCTCTCCCAGCCGCAGGTACACGCCGACCCACAGCCGCACACACCTGTCTGGGTCTGACTCTCAGTATGTTACTGTATGTGAATTTTTTCCCTTTTTTCAGGGGTAGCATCTATGTATAGGGGCACAAACATTGTGTGTGTGTGTGTGTTCAGGAGACCATGGAACTGGCGTACAACAAATCCAAACCTGTGGCGGTGACAGGCATGGCCTTCCCCACGGGAGACGTGAACAACTACGTGGTGGGCAGCGAGGAGGGCACCGTGTACACGGCATCCAGACACGGCAGGTCCGGCCGCCGCCCTGGAAGATCCCAACACACATTCATTACATGATATTAAGCGGGCTAAAGATTTAGTTTGTTTTCCCAAATCCTTTTTTTCTTCTTTTTTTTTTTTTCACGGTGCTGTTTATTCTTTCTTTACCATGAGTGACATTCTTTACTGTATGTGACATGTCCAGAAATGGAAAAAAAAACCCTGTATCTTGTGTTGTCCCTCTCCAGTAAGGCGGGCATCTGTGAGATGTTCGAGGGCCACCAGGGCCCCGTCACCGGCATCAGCTGCCACAGCGCCGTGGGCACCGTGGACTTCTCCCACCTCTTCATCACCTCCTCCTTCGACTGGACCATCAAACTCTGGAGCACCAAGGTACGGGGCGGGAGGCGTGCGCGTTAGGCGGGAGAAGGAGTGGAAGGGAGAGGGGAGGAAAGGGAGCAGATGTGTGGGGGGTTGATTGTGGCCTCAGGGAGGCTTTAGAGAGGTACTACAGAGCGAATGAGAGAGAGAGCTGAGTACATTAGATGAGCAACTTTTTTTGTGAAATCAGTCCCCCCATTGATGTTTGTGTGTGTGTGTTCGTGTGTGTGTGTGTGTGTGTGTGTGTTGGTAGAGCATCTATATATGGTTCCTGTGTGAGAAATGCTTCCCCTGCAACCAGCAACCCTGATGATTGCTGCTTGAATTCAGATTCTCAGGCCGTTGATCCAAAGGCTGGATTCCACCCCCCGTGACTCCTGCTCCTGAAATCACGTCCTGTAAATAGAAAGGGTACAAAAACATCAACCAGCAGATGAACGATTGCATGTTTTCCTTTCCGTGTCCGGTCATTTACCCGAGCCGTCCCTCATCCGATTATCCCGACATGTTGAGTCACAACAGAGCTAAACATTTCAGCGTGTTCGCTGCCATCGTCTTACATCACCGTTATCCAAGCACAGAGGACGCGAAGCCAAACGGTCACAGCCCGGAACAACATCCAGACGTAAATCTCCGATGCTCCAGGGACAAAAAAAAATCCCAATCACCATACAACCAATCAGCAGGCAGCACACAGCGTGGACATTTAGTCTCTGAAAGTCCATCATCTGTGATTGCAGTGACACACGGGGCATGTAAAAACACGACCTTCGGTAACCACCACATACTTTTTTGGCAGTAATATCTAATTCATGGAAATGTGAGTTACTTTCTCGGTTTAATATAATACAGTGGAATTATACAGAGTTTTTGAATTTCTGTTTTCATAGTGGATATAAACTGGACTGGATCTGGTGACCCGTGTCCTGCGTTAAAATCAACTTTCCCCCGTTTTCCATTCACAAACCACAGCTTCTTCTCAGCGGCTCCTTCCACCTCCACGCCGCTTTCCATCAATGAACTTCTCCAGAACAGCTCCGTCTGTTTTCAGCTGCTTGACTCTTGATGAAAAGAAGCCAAATACATATATTTAGGTTGAACTAATACTAGTTCAAGCTTATAAGTGTCCAACCTCAAAATAAGGAGGAAACCACAACAGTGCTGGTGACTCTGGTTCCTCTCAGTCATGCTCAAGTCAACTGGCCCATATCAAAATGGGGCCTTATGAACCAGACTGAATCACCCAAGACAACCGGGGCTTATTGTTGTGGACATTTCTGGATTTAATCATGTCAGATCAGTTGTGCTGCACCTACACTCAGTGACTCAGCGCTCCACAGGTGGGCGCTTCCCATCCGGGTCGCTCCCTGGGACGTTTCATTTCAGCGGCAGGAAAACACAAACGGCCACAGTCTCTGTCAGAGGGAGAACGGAAAATAGAAAAGGTTTGGTAAAACATTGACAAGGTACTTTTTTGTGTTAGTAAGAGAAACTAAATGTGGCTAAGATCAATTTGAGGTGTTCCTTTATTGGGAAAAGGAGAAAATGGAGATTGAAGATGTTCTGAAATGAACAGCCGATTTAAATTCAGGGGGCAAAGACTTGAGCGGGGGAAGAGAGAGGAAAGAACACAAGGGAAAATATATTTTGAAGTTAAACGAAGGCTCGTCTGACTTTGGATGACTGAGCTGAAGCTGTGCAGGGTGACAAACAGGAAATCCAGCCAAAATGTTCCGATATACACAGTGCTAGTTGTGCAACACCAACAATTCGTCCCAGTTCTCCTGGACAGCAGAAGGCTGAAGCGTGCTGCAGAACTGGGCCTGGTGTTTGCCGCCGTCGGGCCGCCAGTCTTACGCAAAGAGCTGTGTGACACATATTAAAACATTTCTGTGGATTTTCATCAGGCGAGCGTGTTATTTTTCAGGATTTGGGAATTCCCTTTCCTTTGAGGGGCACCGCAGGAATGTGTGTCTGTCTCTTTTCCCACATAACCCCTATTGGTGTGTGGGCAGCCAAGTACCTGAGTGTGTGTGTGTGTGTGTGTGTAAATAGAGACGCACCACACATACCTTACATTCACCTTAAGCAAGCTGCGCCTGCTTGCCTAAAATCCCCTGGAGGTTGGCCTTCCACCCCCCCCCCCCCCCCCCCACACACACACACACACACACACACACACACACACACACACACACACTCTCAGGTTGGCTGTGAATCCATTTTATCCCCAGAGTTCAAAAAGGCCGTCGCACAGAAGTCTGCTAATGTTTTAACACTCGTTGGTGCAAACATTGTGGTTGGTGGACCCGTTCTGAGGCGGCCGCAGCCTGGAGATGTGGGCGGGGCTTTATGATGGCGCAAAACTTGAGCCGTCTTGCTCTCTCGACCCCAAAACCAACATCTACTAAGCGACTGGATGGAGCATAATCACCCCATTCTGCTCTCTTAAGGAGTTAGTTAAACACCTGCGTCTCTGGTCAGTTCACGCGATTGTTGGTGAGGGTGAATAATGGCTCCGATGAGTGTCTGTAGGTATATTTTAAAAAGTCAGGTCGCAGGGAGGGCTTGTGTAGGGAGTCCACAAAACACCAGATTTTATCCCGAAAGCTGTGAGGTGGCATCAGAGTTTTACCCATTTCCACCCTTTCTGTGATGTTTTCAGCAGCTCCCACAGCATGATTTAACCTACACCGTGTTCCAATGAGGGAAAGGGCTCCCTTTTCTTTGTGGGAATCATCAAAAAACAATGTGTTTCCATTCATCTGTTGATTTTTCAATATTTTTTCCTCAATGGTCTTCACTCTTGGACTTATCTTTAGGGTTTTGGGTTCAGGAAGAGGGGTCAATACAGCCCTTCAGATCGACTTTTGGCTTAGATGTGGATTCCCCAGTTGAGTTTAGTCTTTGTGCCACATATTTAACACAAAATGGAGTTTTCTCTGTTTCCGTGTTTCTTTTATGAAATAACTGTAACAGTTATTTGCTCTCAGCCTGTGTTTTAGACAGACTGCTGCAGCAGAGCTTGTTGCTCTGCAAAATCATCGGACCGGCACGCTTGCATTTATTTCAGAGGATGCTCAAAAATCTGCGGTTCCGGCTCAGGTGTGGCTTCAGCTCTCTGCAGCTCTGTGTTCACTCGTGGTTTTCCAGCTCAGATGTGCTAAAAGAGCCACAGCTTCTCATCAGAGCAAAGATAATGACAACCAGTTAACTTCGTGTGCGGCGCCACATGGATTAAACTTCATTTTGAGATTAGTAGGAAGGCTTTACTTACCCGAATGGCATTCCTCGAAATGGACAGAAAAAGGCCAAACAGTAGTTTACATTTTGGGTAACGAGGACAAGATGAAAAAGTGCTTTTTGTTTTATTTGAAGTTAAATTATCTAAAAGGACAGATTTCAGCTCCCTTAGCTAAGGATGCTACAATAAATATCAGAAAATGGCCTGAACAGTACCGAGCTCGATACCGAGAACAGGAAAAGGATAGAGCTGGGGCATAAACGGGGACTGGTCAGAAAAAAAGAAAACACCTCTGCTTTCATCTCATGGGCTGGGAAAGGGGGTTCGACGGAGGCTTGGAATTGGCTCAGTGCTCTTTTTCTGTGTGTGTGTCGGTGTGTAAACGTGAGCGCCCGCAGAACAAGGTGCAGTGAGAGTTTAAAGGAAAGGAGGAAAAGGAGCAAGAATGAGGAAGAGAAGCACGCTACATTCTTTCATTTACTCCACGAGCCAACCTGTCTCCTCTCTGCCCTCCATCTCTACTCGTCAGGAACGCCGTCTGGAAGCCTCAGGAATCCAGTCTGAGAAATGGGAATGAAGGACACACACTCATATTTGCACTGGGATCATGACCCAAACACACACTTTTGAGGATTCTCTGGGCTTTTAGGGGATTAAAGTTATTTGTAAATACGTAAAATTTGGTGAGAACTCTGCTTCTTCTGGACAATAATCAGTTTTATTTCTTTCTTTAGTGTCTAGATGGGGTACCCTCTGCCACTAACCACGCTCACAGGAGTCAGTTGGTCACATTTCCCCCACACTTCATTAGATTCTCATTTATACCTGGACATCCAGCAGAAAAATTATATTTTATAGCTTATATCTGCCCGATTTAGTTGTTCAAGTAGAAGTTGGAGAAGGCTGGAGCTGCTTTTTGTGTATTTTCGGATAAATCTGAGCAATCATAAGACTGCCATGTTATTTTGTTGTCACTTTTCCCTTTGGTCTATCAGTTCTTGGCGATTTATATTTAGTTGTTAACTGAAATGGGAGCAAATACTTGGAAGTGTCATCCTATCTATTGATCTTAAATGTGACTATACAGCTTATGTAGGAGATCTGATGTCAGCCTTTAAAATGGGTTTGATTTAGAAAATCATATAACGATATAATAACTAAAGCCGGCTAGTAAACATTAGGGTGGCGAGGAAAAGAGCTTTTCCTTCGATGGTGAAGTGGAGTGACGGCATAACGGCCTTAAATGTGCTTCCCGCCGGCGTTTGACCCACAGATGGATGTGATTGAGGCGCGGTGTCACTATGACACAGAGCGTCCACTAGAGAGCACTGACAAGTTTCCCGTTCCTGCGTTCCACCTCCTGATGAGCTCCATAATGAGCTCTGAGCCGTACAGTAAGCCTTCAGTAGTGCGAGCTGACGTTAGAGACGAGGCCGGGCCATTCCTCTAGCAGAGCGACGACATTAGGGGGGCAGTAATGGAGAATTTGGGATGGATCTGCCTCTCCGTCCGGTCCCCCCCCCCCCCGCTTCCACGTCCCGTCTCTTCCCACCTCTGCGACAGCTGTTGCGCTAAGGTTACCGTACACCTTGTGGAGGGGCCTTCCCTTTCATCTCGCCCAGCGGTTTTATGGCGCTGTGTGAATGTGCGAGGCTTTTTAATTAGGCCCTGCACCCAGACAGGCCCCAAGGCTGAGGCAGCGCCGCTCTGTCTGAAGCCGGCCCGCTCCCTCTCTCCATTCCTCCTCGCTGCGTCTCTCCTCCGCCTGTCTCCAGTGTGTCATCTCCTGTAATCCTCCTGCTCTCTCTCTGTTTTTCTCCACAGTGCTATTTCACTCCGTGTCACTCATGCACACTTCCACTGATATCCCCACCTTTATTTTTGTTGTTGTTGTCTTTTTTTACGCCCTGCTCTCTTCCAGCACAACAAGCCTCTGTACTCGTTTGAGGACAACGCCGACTACGTGTACGACGTCATGTGGTCGCCCGTGCACCCGGCCCTGTTTGCCGCCGTGGACGGCATGGGCCGCCTGGACCTGTGGAACCTCAACAACGACACAGAGGTGCGTGCAGTCCACTCGGCCCGGCTGGCCTTTCGCATTTCTCCACAACGTTGCGTGAGCGGTTCGGTGTCCTCACACCCCCGCCGCCGGGGCTGAGCCCCGACCGCACAGCCCGACACCCACATCCCCCCCCATATGACACGCACACAGGATTCAAGATTCCCCCGTGGGCGTTTCCCACAGCCATCGCCTTAAATCAGGCCGGCTGACATCTCCCCATCCCGGCTCCCACTCAGCCATCCCACTAACGTCTCCTCAACCTCCGTCTAACGTTCAGGCGACCTCAGGACCCCACCGCCTCGGCCCATCTTCCTCCCACACTGCGTCCCATCAGAGGAGCGTGCAGATGTGCTGGAGACCGCCAGCCCCAGCCCTCAGTCCACAGTCCCATGAAAATAATTAAAAAAAAGAAAGTTCAGGCCAAGGGTTGAGCTTTGCAATGCAGCAGGGCAATAGTTATTTAAATATGAGTGCATTTAAGGTCGCTGGGGGATGGATCGTTGCAGGCTAATTATACACAATGTTTAACTGTGAATAATACTTTTCTATTATTCACTGTTTCTCGGGGAAGTGGACATTTTCATAACTGAAAGCTTATTCATTTATAAATTCCAAATGGGAGCATTTCAGAGGATTTACTGGCAAAATATAATATTATTCACACTTAACAGCAGCAAGGTCAAAATTCAGTTTACACATATTAAACTCACCTCAATTTAATGAATAAATTAGATTTTTAAATATCTTCCTACTTTCTATGCAGCTCCAAGTCATTCAAACTACATCAATTACTTTAAAAGAACAAGAAAACCTGAGTTATAACTGCATGTCATAAAGCTCCTGATGGACCCACATCAGGAGGCTGCTGGCTCCACCAGTGTATTTTAAAATAGCCGACTTCCCCTAAATGTGCCCTCAGTCAGATATTGTTTCCTGTTAAATTAGTAAAATTTTACCCAAAAGAGGTCAGTAAAAGGCATCGTGTGCGCTGTAAATTCAGCTAGACGTAGAAGCACCACGATCTCCCACAGAGAAGAGTGCACTTTCCCTTAAAGAGTCCAGTTTAACAGACTGGTTTAGCTCCCGTCAAGGACGGTGGTCCAGCTTTATGGTCAGGTCGAACTCTTAACCGGTTCCCCGTGTGAGCTTTCTTTTCCTGAGAATCGGCGCTGATTCCTTCATAGACCTCTGGGTGACCTCTGACCTGTGAAAGTGCCCCTTACAACTCACCCAGTCCGTCCATCCTCAGAGAAAAACACTAAATGTGAGGTGACAGCACAAAGTGGCTTCTCATGAAAGAGTAAAACACACCAAACAGTAAGATGTGTGACTTTAGAAGCCCCCCCCCACCCAGCCAGCCACCAAAATGAAACTTGGCTGCCGTTTTATAATCAGCGGAGAGAAAGCTGCCGGTCTTTTCAAACCTGTCCTGTGATGTAACTCCGACCATGATTCCGAAAATCAGGCGTGGGCACCAAACCTTTGATCACTCAGGTAAAAGTCGGGATAAAAGGATCCTCCGCTCTCCCTCTTCCTTGGTTTCCATGGAGACCACAGCCACGGTGACTTGGGCCTCGGCCTGCCTCCCCACAGACACCCACCTCCCCACAGACACCCACCTCCCCACAGACACCCACCCCCCCACAGACACCCGCCCGCTGCCTCCGTGGGCTCCGGCCTCGGCAGAGGATGAGTTTCCCATGGCCCCCCTGAACAGCAGCCCTTTCATAGACAGAGGAAGAGTTCATTATCGGTGGCCTAACTCGGCTAACAACGCGCTTTATGGGAAACATTTGCTCGGCAAAAACGGATGTACCGAACACGCGCGCGCACACACTGAGGCAGTCTTAATAGCAACAGGCCTCCATTGTTGCCCGCATATTAAAAACACACGGTCGTAACGACGTTAACAGAGCAGCGCGGCGCGCCTGGTTCTCATTTCCAGCACGCGCGCGCAGGCACGCTCGCACGCACGCGCACGGGGCCAGCTGAAGGCTCCGGGGAGCCGGCGGGCTACCGGCCGCCGGGCTGCGGTTAGTGCCGCTTTGCACGCGCAGGGCGCGAGGAGACGGGACGCCGGGGCCCGCGCCTCCACCGGCGACACGTGTCCGGAACCGTTTATGGAAACGGTTCTGGGGGGTTTTTAAAGGTGCGGCAGCGGCCATGAAAACCCAAACGGGGTTATCACACAGCGCCCTGCACTTTTGTTCTGGGTTCAGTTTGCCATGAAACAGCCTCGTGCTCCCATTTTCCAATAAACATTAAGACCAGCAATTA